TCATGTACTGCACATTAAGTTGAAAACATGCTTTTAAAGGGGTCACACACAATGCTACATGTGAATATTGGGTTTTTCATGTGCATCTCGTGCAATTTATTTTTTTGCACACGGGCCGATATTTTTTGTGTTTGGGAGCATTGTGTGAAACAATAGTTCATAGTATTGCATAATATTATACATACAAAACCACCTTGTAATAAAATATTTGGGAAAAAAAAGTGATGCGTTTTTTTATGGCGCTCAGTATATAAAAATAACCCCCAAGAAACTAGGTCATGTTCAGTTTAATACAACAAGAAAAATTTTGAAATCCCAAAACTAGTTAATAAGGACATTAAATTGAGAACATTACAACTGGTCAACTTGCTTCAGGGTCTGTCATGTGATCAGATGTGGATACAAGAGTGAAAGCTTATGTAGTAGGTGTGCTTGTAGCTGTACTAGGGATGGCTTAGAATGTACAGACAGTATTTTGCGCTTGTGCTGAAGCAGCTTGCAGCCAGAAATAAGGCTAAAGGATTAAACTGAATATTACCTAGTTTCGTGGGGCTTATTTTCGTGTTTTGCTGGTAGGATTTGATATCTTAAAAGTACAACCAGTGGTTGCCAGGCAAGATACGCCTACATTTTGCAAGAGATGGTTAAAATCAAAAGCGATTTTTCGTACAATCCGGGGCCATAATCCAGAAAGTTATGGTCTGAAATGCGCAAATATCAAAAGGAACCATGATCTTTGGATTATAAACTTACATTTCAAGTTCCATCAAAATAGGATACAAATTGTGACTTCTAGAGTGTCCACAACTTTGTTATTATATACTTTTACACTGTTTGCGTACAAGAAGCGGCCATTTTGTCCAGCAGTTTCAGTCCATTTTTCACGTAATTCAAACTCAGTCATCATCAGGGTGTAACAGTGATACATTCACACACTTTTTCAAATCGGATAAAAATTGTGACTTCTAGGTTGACCACTAGCTAAAAACATGATTTTTCGTACAATCAAAGGCCAAAATTCAGGAAGTTACGATCTAATATGCTCGAATATCGAATGCAACCAAGATCTTTGGGTTATAAACATGTATTTCAAGTTTCATCAAAATTGTGGCCTCTAGACCGTCCACAGCCTGATATACCATAAGTTTACACTATTTGCATACAAGGGGTAGCCATTTTGTCCGGCAGCTTTAGTTCGATTTTCATGAAATTCGAACTCAATCATCATTAGGGTGGAATGGTGCTATATTCAAACACTTTTTTAAATCAGATACAAATTGTTACCTCTAGAGGGACCACAATCTAAAAACGTGATTTTTCGTACAATCAAGGGCCATAATTCAGGAAGTGACAATCCGATATGAGCGAATATGGAAAGGATCCAAGATCTTTCGGTTATAAACCTGTGTTTCAAGTTTCACCAAAATCGGATAAAAATGTGACCTCTAGAGCGTCCATAACATTGATATACCATATGTTTACACTATTTGCGTACAAGGGGCGGTCGTTTTGTCTGACAATTTTGGTCTGATTTTCACGAAATGTGAACTCAACCAACATATTTATGAATGTTTTTTTTTTTTTAAATAACTGTGACCTCTAAAGGGACCACAAGCTAAAAACATGATTTTTCGTACCACCAGGGACCAAAATTTAGAAGTTAAGATCCGATATGCGCGAATATCGAAAGGAACCAAGATCTTAATTGGGTTATAAACATCCATTTCAAGTTTCATCAAAATCAGATGAAAATTTGAAAATTGTGACCTCTAGAGTGTCCACAAGTCACTAAAGTGACTATAATAGTGCAAGAAAAAAAGGATTAGGCTATTAATACTATAGCTTAGACTAGTTAGATGACACAAGATCTGGGTCCTGCTATTATTATCAAAATGAATAAAAATCTGTTGCAAGACAAGATAGCCTACCCATATTAATGGCAGAAATTCTGAGTTTCAAAAATTAATGCCAAATCAGTTTCCCTGAAGTAAATGAAGGAAAATACTGGAATATCTACTATTCAGTCGATTCCAGGCATTTACCTTCTTCTTTCATTTCAGAAACGATCAGTGAAAAAATAAAATAGATTTGTAATTTGGTAATCTTACCTTTGCTTTGGTACTTGTACATCTAGATTAACAAAGTATGTCATGTAGACCAAACGACGGAAACTGTTTTAACTCATTCACCCACCGAACAAACCATTTAGAATTCTCGCTACTACTTCTTCCTTTCAGGTACTGAGGTAGTCAACTATGCGATCATGCTTTTCTTTCCGTATCACCTTGCTCGTACTTGTAGTTGTACCAGTAAACCGACGATCACAAAATTCATTAAACGAATAATACTAACGCAGTAATCCATGGTGAATACCGAGTAAGATTAGGCGAATTATCACCGTGGTAATCCATTAAATTGCCCGAACAAAGTTCACTTGGTGCACGCAGATTAGTCATCGGAAATTAGACAGAGATTCGTGCATGCGCTGGGGTAATCTGACAACGGAGGGTAATCTGCGCTCAACATATATATTCCGGTATCTCCCCTGTGAGACTTTGTGATTTCCCATGTTGAGTTGTTTACCCAGTGACGGCGCACTGCTGAATGGTATATTTACTTCGAAGTTACAAATTCCAAAGACATTATTTTTCATTTTCATCCATTTTTTATTATTCAGTATCATCTCAAGCACATTTAGATACCAGAATAAAGCATATGAGTCTGACCTTCTATCCATATAATATTATTAATATCTACACCATGCCCAACCAGACAATATATAATAAAAAAGAACAGGAATGCAATGCCTGTTGAAGCCTCGATTTTACCTGCTCTTGCCTCGGCTCGGTTTTATTCAACAATTTGTAATGTAAGGCAATTTAACCTCTGCCGATTCACACAGATATGTTTTTTCTTCAATCTAGTCGTTTTGATTTGCATAAATACTCTTGTCTGGTTGGGCATGGTGTATGCATATTATACGGATAGGTCATACTCCTGTGAATAAAGGCAATAAATAAGGTGTTGTGAATGTTTTTTTTTGAGTAGCTATTTTTAAATATTATTTTCTTCTTCAGAGGCTTTGTTATTTACCAAAAGCTGTACATCTCAGTATTGTAACAACACCAACTTTATGTAAATCGGAGCAGAATTGACTGAGTTAATGCCTATTTAGTAACACCAACTGGCAGACCTCTTGTTCGCGAAATTGGCCATTTTGCTTCAATTTTCAACCCCACTTCATATCTCAGAAACCAAAGGTCCTAGAGACATAATTATTTCACCAAAATAAAGCATATTTGCGCACCAACACAATCATGCAAACACATTATACATAGCTCAATAAGTTGTTTTTCTAATGTTTGCAATAACCGTACAGAAGATTAAATAATTACATAAACTTGAACTAGCTACAAGCAGCTATTTTTAATATTAATTTGTTGTCGATAACCTTGTTATTTTCCCAAAGCTGCACATCTCAGCATTGTAACAACACCAATTGTTACTGCCCGTTTTGTAACGCCAACTGGCAGACCACCTTTTTCGCGAAATCAGCCATTTTGCTTCCATTTTCAGCCCCACCTCACCAAGATGAAGCTTATTTATGTATCAACACAGCCATACAAGCACATGACACATATCTTGAATAGTTTATTTTCTGAGGTTTGAAATACCCGCACAGAAAATTAAATAATAACTTAAACTTGAACTAAACATAATCATAATCAATAATGATACAATATAATCAAAATATTTAAAAACAAAACTTTGTCATAGAGTATTCAAAACAGAATAGAATAAACTAAGAATAAAAATAAAATAAAATAAAAATATTGTAAGACCCCCCCCCCCCCCAATAAAAAAAAAAAATTAAAAAAACAAACAAATTATTTATTAATCAGGATCATATTTATTTATGTAGCTAACTGTATTAAATAAATCAACATGAAATATACTTTCTTTCCCCTGGGTACCAAAACGCAGGTCTACCATACTACTGAAAATACAAAAGATTTAAAGTTTATATTATTATGCATACCAAACTGCATGTTTATGTATTTATGATTTATTAATGTGTATATTTTAATCTCACACTCATCATTCATACACAATCCTGATAAATTAAAATAATACCTGTATGCAACAGGTACACATATATTTTCTTCCCAAGTATTGCTGTCAACTATAATGGACTGTATTAATTCAATTTTCAAAAATTGCATCTGCATTTTAAATTACACTTATAAATCTAATAATACACACTGAACGACAAGCAACATTTTCTTTTGTCAAAGTAAGTTGAGGTATTAACTGTGGTCTGTGCCCATATTGTGATGGAGTTCCGTCCCTTTGGAATCCGACACGGTGCCGATTTCCAGGAATTTACACTTTCCACGGGGGTTTCCATCCTCTGCAATATTTCAGATCACTAATTTGGTGTTTATTTTCATAATTTTAAGTAAAACTTTTAGCGTATCAGAGCGTATCAGACAATTTCAATAAAAAAGAAAACTTCAACAATTTATTAAAAAGCCAATGAACTTACCGCATGTCTGTATGTCAACCGCCGTTAACCATTTTTTCAGATACGCTTGGATACTCTCTAAGAGAATCACTCGGTTTCCGATCCAAATTCCGTCAGAAAAGTCTGTACTAGCTCGGCGAAAACATGACCCCAAAACACTGTAAACAGATGGAGTGGGGTTGAAAATCGTCCATAGCTGTGCACAATACTGTCTGACCCCTGTACTGTAGCGGTGGCGCCGGTCGCAATATTGAGCCCCCCCCCCCCCCATTTCAGGTGTTATGACAATTCTTGTCACTTAACCTTGCCCTTAACAATCAGATTTAGCAATACTGAATGATATATTCCGAGAAAATCAAAAATTGCCAACACTACAGACAGTACAACTGAAATTTAATTATGATACCATTCTGGTTGTGAATGATATCATATCTATATAATGTAAATCTTGATATATATTTAAATAATTCTTAACTAGAAATATATTCACAGTATTCAAGAAAGTAGTTGATCTGCGGATAAATTTGGAGCAAGTTTTAAGAGTCCACACATGGTTTAACAAGGCTGCCATCTTTTCGTCCGAAATGGTACTGAACCACAACTGTTAAAAAGATTTCAGGAATGACTTTAATCTTAATTTTTCGTCCCTTTCACCGGACCTAAATTTTTTTTACAAATATTTGTTGGTGAAAAGCTTAATATCACAGATGGAACAAACGTGTATGAGTTTCCCATGGAGATCTTGCGATACAAAAAATGAAAGTAGCGTTGTAAATAAGGGTTTTTATAATAATAATAATGTGAGTCGACCCTAAGTCCAAATCAAATAGTCAGTCGAATAAACCGGTCGATGGCTTATTAAAATTTTGGAATCGTTTGTAATCAGTATAAGTTAAAGAAAAAACGCACTAATTCCAATATCTTTTATCATTGTTTTTGTTTATTTTTTACGTCCCCTCATGTTCAAATTTGATTGTTCAAATTAAAACTTTAAGGTGTTATTGCCACCGCGGCTTAATAAAGTCATGCTTTACTTTTTCCCTCATCCCCATATGCCCCCATCTTTTAAGTGCACGCCAATGTGTACACGGGACCTCGGTTTTTCGTCCCATCCGAACGACTAGACATCTGTCCTTGTCCACCTCCAAAAGAATATAGAGTCCCTATATATGATATGTTGGGTTAGGGGGGCATATGGGGATAAGGTATTTGACATTATCATGTGGCCTCGTCCAGTCAATAAAATCAGTCAGTTAGTTCAGTCGATAACATCAGTAAGTTAGTTCATGCTCGTCCCATCCGAACGACTAGACAGCTGTCCTTGTCCGCCTCGAAAAGAATAGAGTCAATATATATGATATGAACATGGAAAGGGGATGCGATGGGGCGGGGGGGGGGGGGCGTGTCGGGATGAGGTATTTGACATTTTCATGTGGCCTCGTCCAGTCGATAAAATCAGTCAGTTAGTTCAGTCGAATAATCCAGTCGAATAAACCAGTCGAATAATTCAGTCGAAAAGTTCAGTCGAATACTTCAGTCGAATAAACAAGTCGCTCAATATTAAGTAGCGGTGGCAGCGGGCTAAGATAATTAGTAGCAAATCATGCTCGTAGACATAGCTGAAGGAGCCGGGGGCATGGGGTAGGGACCTGGGGGCTTCCCGACTAGTTTCAAGAAATGAAACGAAATGAAATGGGGTTTTAACGTCCTACTGTTCTGCTTGGAACTGTGCTAATGAAGACGGGCATACGCCATACACTGTGGGATGAGTGAAATTTTGCCCGGACAGCGGCACTACGGCATACTCTTATATCGAATTCCATCTGTCAAGGGATCTTTTACGTCCACGCCAATGTATACACGGGACCTTGGTTTTTCGTCCCATCCGAAAGACTAGACAGCTGTCCTTGTCCGCCTCGAAAAGAATAGAATCCCTATATATGATATGAACGAAGAAAGGGGATGGGGTGGGGCGGGGGGTGTGGGGTGTGTGTGAGGTATTTGACATTTTCATGTGGCCACGTCCAGTCGATAAAATCAGCCAGTTAGTTCAGTCGAATAATCCAGTCGAGAAGTTCAGTCGAATACTTCAGTCGAATAAACAAGTCGCTCAATATTAAGCAGCGGTGGCAGCGGGCTAAGATAATTAGTAGCAAATCATGCTCGTAGCTATAGCTGAAGGAGCCGGGGGTATGGGGTAGGGACCTGGGGAATTCGATATAAGAGTATGCCGTAGTGCCGCTGTCCGGGCAAAATTTCCCTAATCGCATAGTGTATGGCGTATGCCCGTCTTCATAAGCCCAGTTCCAAGCAGAACAGTAGGACGTTAAAACCCCCATTTCATTTCTTTTCATTTCTTGAAACTAGTTGGGAAGCCCCCCGGTCCCTACCCCATGCCTCGGCTCCTTCAGCTATGTCTACGAGCATGATTTGCTACTATATTATCTTAGCCCGCTGCCACCGCTGCTTAATATTGAGCGACTTGTTTATTCGACTGAATTATTCGACTGGATTATTCGACTGAACTATTCGACTGAAGTATTCGACTGAACTTTTCGACTGAATTATTCGACTGGTTTATTCGACTGGATTATTCGACTGAACTAACTGACTGATTTTATCGACTGGACGAGGCCACATGAAAATGTCAAATACCCCCCCCCTCCGCCCCACCCCATCCCCTTTCTTCGTTCATATCATATATAGGGATTCTATTCTTTTCGAGGCGGACAAGGACAGCTGTCTAGTCGTTCGGATGGGATGAAAAACCGAGGTCCCGTGTACACATTCGCGTGGACGTAAAAGATCCTTTGACAGATGGAATTCGATATAAGAGTAGGCCGTAGTGCCGCTGTCCGGGCAAAATTTCCCTCATAGAAAAGTGTATGGCGTATGCCCGTCTTCATAAGCCCAGTTCCAAGCAGAACAGTAGGACGTTAAAACCCCATTTCATTTCTTTTCATTTCTTGAAACCGGTTGGGAAGCCCCCCGGTCCCTACCCCATGCCCTCGGCTCCTTCAGCTATGGCTACGAGCATGACTTGCTACTAATTATCTTAGCCCGCTGCCACCGCTGCTTAATATTGAGCGACTTGTTTATTCGACTGAATTATTCGACTGGATTATTCGACTGAAGTATTCGACTGAACTTTTCGACTGAATTATTCGACTGGTTTATTCGACTGGATTATTCGACTGAACTAACTGACTGATTTTATCGACTGGACGAGGCCACATGAAAATGTCAAATACCTCACACCCCCCCCCCCCCCGCCCCACCCCCTTTCTTCGTTCATATCATATATAGGGACTCTATTCTTTTCGAGGCGGACAAGGACAGCTGTCTAGTCTTTCGGATGGGACGAAAAACCGAGGTCCCGTGTATACATTGGCGTGGACGTAAAAGATACCTTGACAGATGGAATTCGATATAAGAGTATGCCGTAGTGCCGCTGTCCGGGCAAAATTTCCCTAATCGCATAGTGTATGGCGTATGCCCGTCTTCATAAGCCCAGTTCCAAGCAGAACAGTAGGACGTTAAAACCCCATTTCATTTCTTTTCATTTCTTGAAACTAGTTGGGAAGCCCCCCGGTCCCTACCCCATGCCTCGGCTCCTTCAGCTATGTCTACGAGCATGATTTGCTACTATATTATCTTAGCCCGCTGCCACCGCTGCTTAATATTGAGCGACTTGTTTATTCGACTGAACTATTCGACTGAAGTATTCGACTGAATTATTCGACTGGTTTATTCGACTGGATTATTCGACTGAACTAACTGACTGATTTTATCGACTGGATGAGGCCACATGAAAATGTCAAATACCCCCCCCCCCGCCCCACCCCATCCCCTTTCTTCGTTCATATCATATACAGGGACTCTATTCTTTTCGAGGCGGACAAGGACAGCTGTCTAGTCTTTCGGATGGGACGAAAAACCAAGGTCCCGTGTATACATTGGCGTGGACGTAAAAGATCCCTTGACAGATGGAATTCGATATAAGAGTATGCCGTAGTGCCGCTGTCCGGGCAAAATTTCCCTCATCGCACAGTGTATGGCGTATGCCCGTCTTCATTAGCCCAGTTCCAAGCAGAACAGTAGGACGTTAAAACCCCATTTCATTTCTTGAAACTAGTTGGGAAGCCCCCCGGTCCCTACCCCATGCCCCCGGCTCCTTCAGCTATGGCTACGAGCATGATTTGCTACTATATTATCTTAGCCCGCTGCCATCGCTGCCTAATATTGAGCGACTTGTTTATTCGACTGAATTATTCGACTGAAGTATTCGACTGAACTTTTCGACTGAATTATTCGACTGGTTTATTCGACTGGATTATTCGACTGAACTAACTGACTGATTTTATCGACTGGACGAGGCCACATGAAAATGTCAAATACCTCACCCCCCCCCCCCCCCGGCCCCATCGCATCCCCTTTCTTCGTTCATATCATATATAGGGATTCTAATGTTTTCGAGGCGGACAAGGACAGCTGTCTAGTCGTTCGGATGGGATGAAAAACCGAGGTCCCGTGTACACATTCGCGTGGACGTAAAAGATCCTTTGACAAATGGAATTCGATATAAGAGTAGGCCGTAGTGCCGCTGTCCGGGCAAAATTTCCCTCATAGCACAGTGTATGGCGTATGCCCGTCTTCATTAGCCCAGTTCCAAGCAGAACAGTAGGACGTTAAAACCCCATTTCATTTCTTTTCATTTCTTGAAACTAGTTGGGAAGCCCCCCAGTCCCTACCCCATGCCCCCGGCTCCTTCAGCCATGGCTACGAGCATGATTTGCTACTAATTATCTTAGCCCGCTGCCACCGCTGCTTAATATTGAGCGACTTGTTTATTCGACTGAATTATTCGACTGAACTATTCGACTGAAGTATTCGACTGAACTTTTCGACTGGTTTATTCGACTGGATTATTCGACTGAACTAACTGACTGATTTTATCGACTGGATGAGGCCACATGAAAATGTCAAATACCACATCCCGACACGCCCCCCCCCCCCGCCGCCCCACCCCATCCCCTTTCTTCGTTCATATCATATATAGGGACTCTATTCTTTTCGAGGCGGACAAGGACAGCTGTCTAGTCTTTCGGGTGGGACGAAAAACCGAGGTCCCGTGTATACATTGGCGTGGACGTAAAAGATCCCTTGACAGATGGAATTCGATATAAGAGTATGCCGTAGTGCCGCTGTCCGGGCAAAATTTCCCTAATCGCATAGTGTATGGCGTATGCCCGTCTTCATAAGCCCAGTTCCAAGCAGAACAGTAGGACGTTAAAACCCCATTTCATTTCTTTTCATTTCTTGAAACTAGTTGGGAAGCCCCCCGGTCCCTACCCCATGCCCCCGGCTCCTTCAGCTATGGCTACGAGCATGATTTGCTACTAATTATCTTAGCCCGCTGCCACCGCTGCTTAATATTGAGCGACTTGTTTATTCGACTGAACTATTCGACTGAACTTTTCGACTGGTTTATTCGACTGGATTATTCGACTGAACTAACTGAATGATTTTATCGACTGGACGAGGCCACATGAAAATGTCAAATACCTCACACACACCCCGGCCCCATCGCA